AATTCGATATAAATAGAGGTGTAACTTGAATCATTTTTTCACACTTCTTCTCAATTTCTTCTAATTTGTTTCTTATTCATTTGTTCTAACATGCATTGACATGGGGATGTTATTTATTCGAGAGCCAAGCCTCCGATTAAGATGTGTTTTTGGCGTAACTGGAGTTTCGAGCAATTGTAAACTAACTTGAATCTTTTGCAAGACTGAGAGATTAACGATAGTGAAAGAGTTAGAAGAATAGATAGACTTCTTTTATACATGTCCATTGCAGATGACACTTACGAAATTCAGTGTGGTTGGTTGTCAGTTGAGAATGACAAACATGTTAAGGATATTTTGCAGTGTTAAGCGTTTGTATTTGGTGTAAGTGTTGTTGTTTTAGACGCGTTAGGGTTCATTTTGTTTTAACTGGAATGTTGATATCTATATTAAACGTTAAATCTAAAATTGATATTTAATGGCGAAATAAATACTTAATTAATATTAGTTCCAACATATGTGAAACTTGCTGGTAATCTAAAATTGATATTTAACAACGAAAGAAAAACTTAATTAGTACGAGTTGTAACATTAAGAAACCGCTTGCAGGTGTGACCAGGAAGACGGCACAATCCACATTTTTTCTCCAATTTATTAGTTGTGTCCATTTCGGTTCTAATATACGTGCTCACTTAGCGGTTTTTCTTATTCCTACGCGTTCTTGGATTATGGAAATTTTGATCCCCTTCATAAATAGGTCGTATGGTATCACTGGAAAGTTCTTTCTATAGACTCCAAATAGGTTTATGACCTTGTAAATGTTGGACAAATGAACATAATTGTTTTGGCGTACACTGGAACATGCAGTGATAACATTGGAACATGCAGTGATAACATACAGCTTGTAACGCCCAATTGGCTTTCTCACATTGTGGTCCATCGTCTCCTCCACACTAAAAGTGTTACGTTGGTAGTCAAAATTTATTACCTTATGCGTATTGGATTTTACAGTTTCCTTTTTCATCACCTTCATACAGTTTTCTGTAAATATCTGGTCAGGTTCCAACATTGCACTTCATTGTGCACCCCTTTCAGCAAATAGTGATCCCAGCCTAAAGTAGGTTGCAGTTATCAATGTTGTGATGGGAAGATTACAAGTGCATTTAAAGATTGAGTTTATTGACTCGATGAGGTTCGTTGTCATGTGACCCCAACGGCGACCCTCGTCAAATTCCCTCGTCCACTTGTGTACTGGAGTATTGTCCACCCACCTTATAGCATCGGCATTAGCTAACGTAATTTATTTTTGGTAGAGGTCAATTGTTGGTCGGTTTAAAGCTTACCATGTATGTTATAAATAGTTAATGTACGTCTACAAAAATAATCCTTCAATGTTATATAACTTCAAAACTAAACTATTAATTTATAAAGTTTAACATTATTTTTTTGGCTTAAATACACAACACCCTTTGTAATATTAGCGAGTTTCGTTTTAATCCTCTGTAAAAGATTTTTTTTTAATTCCACGTGGATTACCTTTTTTTTATTTTTTTATTTTATTTTTTTAATCTTCTTTTTTACTTTTTTAATTATATATTGTTAATTGTGTATTATATTTTAACTATATGATATTAATTGCATATTATATTATTAATCTTCTTTTTTAATTTTTAATTATATTATTATTTTAAGTTTTATTTTTTTTATATTTTTAATTCTATTTTTTAAAAATTAATTAATCAAAATTTTAAAGAAATATATTGGGCCTAGCCTTTTCAGCTCAGGTATCTCTTTCATTTACAAATCCAAAGCACGAGTAACAATATAAACAATTTTTTTTTCAAAATCAAACGATGTGAGACATGGTTAGCAATATAAACATGATTGCAGGATCTAATACCAACATCATTGATAAAGAAACAAAAGAGCAGGTCACAGTAGAATGGGGAGGCGAGGACGACCACCAAAGGTGGTGTTGACGCCGTCAGCCATCAACAACAAGGACGATGACATATCAGACACCACCGCGAATGCAAACAAAACACAACATGGAGGAGAAGAGCCAACAAAGGAGATTGTGGAAGAACAGGAAAGCAGCAAATCCGAAACCCTAATTCCACTAAAAGGGGCAACTGAACTTAGACGACTATGGGTAGATGTTATAAGTGGAAATCGAAATCCTGGGAATGGGTTAAAACTGGAATTCATCGCACCAATGATTGTCAATGGTATTGCAGAGGTATGTATTGAAGAAGCTGACACTGAAACAGAGGTGAAATTCTGGGAGACGGCATTGATCATGTATGTGATGGGAGGTGATTTAAGTATGAACTTGGTCAAACAATTCATGCTAAAACAATGGAATTTTGTTATAAATTGCCTGACATGTATTACAACAATGAAGGGTATTTTATACTGAGATTTCATTCACATAAGGAGAGGGATGATGTACTCAGGAAAGGGCCGTACACCATTCGCAACATGCCGATGCTGCTAGCTGAATGGAAACCAAACTTCAATTTGAAGAATGATATGTTACGCACAATCCCGGTATGGATTCAATTTCCTCAACTGCCGTTGCACTTATGGGGAGCAAAAAGTTTAGGAAAGATAGCGAGTGTGCTAGGTACCCCGTTGATGACTGATGAATGCACCGCGAACAGATACCGTATCTCGTATGCTAGAGTTCTTGTAGAAATTGATATTACACAAGAACTCATTGCTGAAATCACTATAACAGATGAGAGAGGCGAGAAGATGAAACAAAGAGTAGAATATGAATGGAGGCCTCCATACTGTACAAAATGCCAGCGGATTGGACATAAATGTGAGGAGAAGCATATGAAGAACCCAACCAAGCAGTGGATCCCAAAAGAGAAGAAGCACCAAGATGATAGTGTGGTTGAAAAGGAAGTGGAGACATTGAAGACACCAACACAGAAAGCAACAGGACAGGAACCTGCTATATCTGGATCAATTGTGCAAATGACTAACAGCAAACAAACAGATACGGATAAAAGTATGGCGTGGACAGAGGTACGGAGGAAAGACAAAGTAAAGGCCAATGGTTTTGATACTGGTTCTAGTCCAAAAAATAAGAAGCCAACGAAAAATGATGGGAACCTGTATGCAACTCTCAGTGATGATCCAGCCTCGGTGTTCCTAGACGATGTCCCATGATTGTCTCTTGGAATATCAGAGGGTTGAATAAAGCAGGCAAAGTTAGGGAGATCAGCTCTCGTCTCCAAAAACTTACCCCTGCAATATCTGTGTTAATTGAAACAAAAGTTAAGGTAAAGAATGCAATGTGTATTCGTCGAAAATTGAGATTAGAAGGAAAATTTATAGATAACTATTCTCACCATGATAATGGCAGAATTTGGATCCATTGGGATGAGAAGAAAAGGAACATGGTACTGATGGAATGTACCGATCAGTTGATCCACTGCAAGGTTAATGATGTTAATGGAAATTTTATGTGTTGGTTGACAGCCATTTATGCACACAACCAACTGCAGCGGAGGAAGGAATTGTGGCAGGATATTGAAAGGATTAATGCTCAGCACAATGGACCTTGGATACTAGTTGGTGACTATAACAATGTGATGAGATCAGAAGACAGAATTGGCGGTAACGACGTTACGGAGCAAGAATACAAGGACTTGACTGAGATGATGAGCAATACAGGATTATATGAGATGGACAGTGGTGGAGACTACTTCACTTGGTCGAATAAACAGGGGGATAATGCTATTTACTCCAGAATTGATCATGTCCTCTGTAACGTTGATTGGATGCAGCAGAACGGTACTACGACGTTAACGAATATGAACCCCGGTATTTCAGACCATGCCATGCTTGTGTTAAATGACGGTATTGAAGCCCAGCGGCCTAAAAAACAATTTCGATTTATAAACTGTTGTGCTGAATTTGATAACTTCCAGGAAATTGTCAAGAACAGTTGGGACATGTCGTTAGCAGGAAATCCAATGTTTGTTGTTTGGAAGAAGTTGCAAAGGTTACAACCCCACATCAGAAAGTTGAGCAAACCATTGGTTGAGATTCACAAGGAAATTGCACAAGCTCGTGATGATTTGAACAAGGCGCAGGATACTTTAATGACTGATAGATTGAATGCAGGAAAAATTCATACGGTTAAGAGATGTACTGATAATCTTCTTAGGCTTCAGGAGTTGGATGATAGTATGGTGCGACAACGAGCTAAAATTGATTGGTTGCGGCTTAGTGACAACAACAACAAGTATTTCCATGCCTCTATTAAGATGCGACAGAAGTGTAATACCATGACTCAAATTCAAAGAACAGATGGTACCTTTATTACAGATCAACAAAGAATGGAAAATGAAGTGATCTCTTTCTACAGGATGCTAATGGGCACAAAACTGAACTACCTTGAAGGCATTGATACAGCAGCTATGAGAAATGGTAGCCAATTGAACGCTGCGCAGAGGGTTATACTGACGGGACATGTAACCGAAGAAGAAATCACCAAAACTTTACAAGGCATTGGTAATGATAAGGCACCTGGTATGGATGGATTTGGAGCTTACTTTTACAAGAAAGCCTGGAATATCATCAAAGGGGATGTCATAGCAGCTGTGCAGGAGTTCTTCAAGCATAATCGTTTGTACAGAGCGGTTAATTGTTCTGCTGTCACACTTGTCCCGAAGCACAAGGGCGCGAAAGAAATTAAAGATTATCATCCTATTGCATGCTGCAGTACCCTGTACAAAATTATCTCCAAGATATTGGCCAACCGTCTCAGCAAAGTTCTAGGTACGATAATTGGTGCGAATCAAACAGCTTTTATCAAAGGGCAGAGAATTCACAACCATATCTTGCTCACGTATGAATTGATTAAGGGTTACGAAAGGAGAAGTATTTCTCCCCGTTGTTTAATGCAAATGGATATTCAAAAAGCATATGATACGGTTGATTGGAATGCGCTTGAAAAGATTTTGATTGAGGTGGGTTGCCCACAACAGTTCGTGAAATGGGTTATGACTATGGTTTCCACTGTTTCGTATAGATTTAACGTCAACGGCCAGCTAACTGACATCCTGGAAGCGAAAAGGGGACTTAGACAAGGTGATCTGATATCACCTTTGTTGTTTGTCATTGTTATGGAATGTTTGAACAGGTACTTGTATAAGATGCAGGAGGACTGTGACTTCAATTTTCACCCAAAATGCGAAAAATTGAAAATCACAAACCTATGCTTTGCGGACGACTTACTTATGTTTGCCAGAGGAGATAAGGTGTCAGTTGAAAAGATGATGAATACTTATGGGAAGTTTTCGAAGGCTACCGGTCTCGTAGTAAATTCGCAAAAGTGTCGAATGTACTGTGCTGGCATGGATGATCTGACTAAGCAGAATATTCTCAGAGCATCGGGGTTCCAAGAGGGTCAGCTGCCTTTTAAGTACCTGGGGGTGCCGGTAACAGGTAAAAAACTCTCTGTTCGTCATTATGCACCGTTAATTGACAAGATCGTGGGTAGGATAAAGCATTGGACTGCGAGGCTGTTGACATACGCGGGGAGACTGCAACTCATTAACAGTATTATGTTTGCAATGACTCATTATTGGCTCACTTGTTTTCCTTTCCCCAAAACTGTTCTTCATAGAATAGATTCGATTTGTCGCATTTTCCTCTGGACAGGAGGTTTTGAAGGGAGCCGTAAAGCTCCAGTAGCTTGGCAGCAGATTTGTAGCCCTCGTAGCCATGGTGGTTTAAACGTCGTTGACCTTGAAGCTTGGAATAAAGCAACTATAATTAAGTTGCTTTGGAACTTAAGTGGTAAGGAAGATTCGCTTTGGGTTAAGTGGATACAAACGTACTATCTCAAAAACAAAGATATGATGGAGATCCAGTGTAAACAGAGTGATTCCTGGATAATGAAAGGTATTCTCAATCTCAGGGGGGATTTCCAAAACATGAGCAGTCAGGTAGATTTCAAGACGGGGGGATTTAGAATGAGTAAATTGTATGCTAAATTACATGATTGTGGTCAGCCGGTGGAGTGGAGGAATATGATGTATGGTAACAACGCAAGGCCGCGAGCTAATTTCATGATGTGGCTTGCTTGCCATGGTAGATTAGCGACGAAAGATAGATTGCGAAAGTACGGTATGATTGATGATACTAAGTGTTGTTTCTGCGAGGAAAATGAATCTTTAAACTATCTATTTTTTGAATGTGAACGCTTAAAGTGCGTATGGACGGAGATCCTAAGATGGGCTCAAATTCACCATACCCCTGGAGATTGGTATAGCGAGCTGAAGTGGCTTATTCAACATACCAAAGGTAAAGGAGTCCGAGTTGCAGTCCTAAAAATGGCGATTTCTGAAACCATCTATGAGATTTGGCAGGATCGGAATAATAATATTTTTGGAGAAAAGCCGGATATCACTACAATTGGGAAGAAAGTCATAGATACTTTGGTGTATAGAGGTTGGAACACTAAAAAACCAAGGGAGTATATAGCTATTTTAATGATAGAGGGGGTTAGATAGTTTGGTAGATGTTTTTTTTCCCTTTTTTGGTCCTAGGTGATCTTTTGTAGCTGGATCCATTGGGATCGCTTGTATCTATCGTCTTTTTTTTGAGTAATATAATTTTACTTTTAAAAAAAAATAAAAAATAAAAAATAAATAAAAAATAAAAAAATACCAACATCATTGCTTAAGCTGAATAGCAATTTCAATACATTACATATTGTACTAGTGTCATTTTTGTGTTGCATATATGTGTGAAAGTGTAATGCATTTCTATGTAAGCTATCAACAGTACCATTTATGGAAGCTCCATGTTCCATAATATTAAACTATAAGTTATGAATTCGTTGGACTTGCATCTGAGAGAATTGTCTATAAGTTTCGTTCATACATCCAAATTTGGCGTACAAATCAACGATAGCAGAACGAAAACATCAACTTATTTCATTATATTTCATATTTAACTTTTGATTGCCTACTCGTAAAACACAACATGATACTATACACACCATAGTCATATATACTAATAGAAAAAAAAAATCAAATTATGAATAAGTGCATTCAAGGAAATCAACAAACTTTAATTATTTCAATCACTCTTTGATCTCAGATAAAAGTAAAATATGCATTGTATCATTCTCACTGAATGCATATATGTAGAAATCAAGCTCATGATTTGTGAAGTCACACACCGAGAATGAATCCTTTCATGTTAACTTTTCATATAACAAAGATATTCAACTAAGAAGAATGAAAACAAATATCTATCTATTTGTACCGCACCTAAAACAGCAGAACATTCATTCTTTGCTATGCAAGATCACCCAGACTAAGGTTTGAAAATCATCCAAACTAGCCACTGTAGAACCATTGGCTACAGAGGATCTAAACACAGCATTTCAAATCATTGTACTATGTCGAAAGTCTTTGGTTAATCATTTTACTGCTAAATTTTGTTAAGCTTGGTTCTTCCACCCTTCATATAATCCACCCCTTGTTAATGGTTTATAAAGTAGTTATGTGCATTGTATCTCTGCGTGTATAAAGTAGTCCTTCCCTATTTTTAATTGGGCAAGTTGCATAATAACTGCATTCATAAATTATGATATCGGCCATGGCGGATTGCGTACCATGGCAGAAAGCCAAATATCTGCCACATGATGCCACCACCCTTCACAAATTGTGGCCATGACCGTTGTCAAAAAATCTGCTACTGCAATCCGCCATGACCGATATTCTACAATACTGCTAAATACTTCTTTAACTATGAGGCCCGGAACTGAATTGAGCGTAAGAGAATACGAGAATACGTTACTAAACTTTCAGCATTTTTGTGGCCACGTTCCAATTCTGCCTAATTGGATTTCGTTAGTATGACGACCGTGACGAGTGTCACGACCGTGAAGGCCATGACGATCGTAAGGGGTTCATGACGTTCGTAACGATCGTGACGACCGTCACATCAGCAAAATCTCATTTTCTTAGACAGAACATCTCTTTAGCTTTCCAATGCTTCGAACGGGGACTAAAACCGACTTACGGATCAAAAGATATGAATTTTCGAAGTTTTCCCTAAAACTGCTACGGAATTTTGCACTTTTTCCCGAAAATTCGACCGACTCAATTCCTTTCTTCGAGACAAACACATACTCAAAGACTACGACACAACGAGACACGGCAAAGTCATAATTAAATTTAATCGAAATAAAACGGGCGTTACAACTCTCCCCCACTAAAAGAATTTCGTCCTCGAAATTACCTCAATCAAACAGCTCGGGATAAGACTCCCGCATCTTGCTCTCCAGATCCCACGTCAAGCTTTCGCCAGTAGCTCCTGACCAAACCACTTTCACCAAGGCAATCTCTTTTCCTCTTAACGTCTTCACCTCACGATCATCAATTCTCACAGGCCTTGTCTCCACAGTAAGATTATCACGTACCTGCACATCGTCCATAGGAATGACATGCGATGGATCTCAAATATACTTGCGGAGCTGCGACACGTGAAACACATCGTGCATATTCGACAAATTAGGCGACAACGCCACTCGATATGCAACCTTTCCAACTTTGTCTGATATCTGGTACGGGCCAATGAAACGAGGAGTGAGCTTCTTAGACTTCAAAGCTCTACCAACTCCAGTCACCGGCGTGACTCTCAAAAACACATGATCTCCCGCTTCAAATTCTAAATCCTTCCAGTGCTTATCATGATATCATTTATGCCTACTCTGTGAAGTTTTCATCTTTCCTCGAATCAACTTCACCTTCTCGGTAGTCTCTCGAACAATCTCCGGTCTGAGTACCACACTCTCCCCCGATTCATACCAACATAACGGAGTCCTACACCTTCGACCATACAAAGTTTCGAACGGTGCCATTCCGATACTAGAGTGATAATTGTTATTATACGTAAACTCTATTAACGGAAGGTAAGTATCCCACGAACCACCTTCCTCAAGAACACATGCTCTCAGCAAATCTTCTAAAGACTGAATAGTTCGTTCAGTCTGACCATCTGTTTGAGGATGGTATGTTGAACTCAACCTCAACTTAGAGCCCAAAGATTCTTGCAGACTCTTCCAAAATTCAGAAGTAAACCTCGGATCTCTATCCGACACAATACACAACGAAACACCATGCAACTTAACAACAACTCTAACATAAATCTCTGCCAACTTCGATACTGGAAAAGTGATGTTAACAGGAATAAAGTGAGCTGACTTTGTAAGCCTATCAACAATCACCCAAATAGAATCACATCCTCTCAGGGTATTCGGAAGACCCGTTACAAAATCCATTAAAATGTTGTCCCATTTCCATTCTGGAATCTCTAACGGTTGCATCAACCCAGCAGGTTTCTGATGCTCGACTTTCGACTTCTGACAAGTCAAACATGCATATACAAATCGTGCTACATCACGCTTCATACCAGGCCACCAAAACAGATTCTTCAAATCACTATACATTTTCGTCGCTCCTGGATGAATACTCAACTTACTTTTGTGACTCTCTTCCAAAATCGCTTTCTTCATATATGCACTATCAGGAATACAAATACGACCATGAAACCTCAACACGCCCTGCGCATCCAACTGATAATCATTATTTTCCGAATGATCTGCTCCAGGCATTAAATCTACTAACTTCACATCTAATTTCTGAGCCTCTCTGATGATGTCCAGAAATTCATTATTAATCTTCAACATGCCTAACTTTACACTCTTCGGTGTTACTTCACAAACTAAACTCAGATCTCTGAATTGCTCAATCAATTCCAACTCTTTAGCCATCATTGTTGACATATGCAAAGTCTTGCGGCTTAAGGCATCAGCTACAACATTAGCTTTTCCCGGATGGTAATGTAACCCAAAATCATAATCTTTTAACAGTTCCAACCACCTTCGTTGTCTCATGTTCAGTTCCTTTTGATCAAACAAGTACTTCAAATTCTTATGGTCACTGAACACTTCGAATCTTGAACCATAAAGATAATGTCTCATAATCTTCAGTACAAACACAACAGCAGCAAGTTCTAAATCGTGCGTAGGATAATTGTTCTCGTGGATTCTCAACTGTCTTGAAGCATAAGTAACTACTTTATTATTCTGCATGAGCACGCCTCCTAAACCAAACTTAGAAGCATTGCAGTATACCACAAACGGTTTTTCTGCATTAGGCAAGGTCAACACCGGAGCAGACGCCAACCTCTTCTTTAACTCTATAAAACATGTTTCGCATTGAGCATCCCACACAAAGGTTTTCCCTTTACAAGTCAACTTAGTTAACGGAAGGGCCAACTTAGAAAAACCTTCAATAAACCTTCTGTAATAACCAGCAAGTCCCAAAAAGCTTCTAATTTACGGTACCGACTTCGGAGTTTCCCATTGCAACATAACATCAACCTTAGATGGATCTACAGCAATTCCACTTCCTGATATAACATGACCCAGAAAGCTAACTTCTTCCAACCAGAAATCGCATTTCACCAGTTTCGCAAACAACTTCCTTTCTCTCAACACTTGCAGTACTAACCTCAAGTGCCCAACATGCTCCTCTTTCGACTTAGAATAAATTAGGATATCATCAATGAATACTACCACAAACCGATCCAAATACTCGTGAAAGATACGGTTCATGTACTCCATAAAAACTCTCGGCGCATTAGTAACACCAAAAGGCATTACCGTAAACTCATAGTGTCCATATCTAGTTCTGAATGCCGTCTTCTGAACATCATCATCTTTTACCTTAATTTGGTGATACCCTGACCTCAAATCAATTTTACTAAACACCCGCGCCCCAACCAACTGATCCATCAAGTCATCAATTCTTGGAAGCGGATATTTATTCTTAATTGTCACTTTATTTAGTTGTCGGTAATCAATACACAACCTCATACTGCCATCCTTCTTCTTTACTAATAATACCGGAGCTCCCCACAGCAATACACTTGGTCTAACGAACTTCTTCTCAAGTAAGTCTTCCAACTGTTTCTTCAACTCTGCCAATTTAGATGCAGACATCCTGTACGGTGCCATAGACACAGGTCTGATACCAGGTACAAGATCAATAGAAAATTCAATTTCCCGTTCCGGAGGAACTTCAGAAATTTCATCTGGAAACACTTCTGGAAAATCACAAACAACTTCTAACACATCAATTATCGCTTGATTCTCAACGGATAATGATGCCACCAACGCAAACACCTGAGCATCTTCTAGCAATATCTGTTTCATCTGCTTTGTAGTTACCAGACGAGCTCCCTCCTCCTCAAGAGTAGAAAACCTCACCGACTTATTAAAGCAATTAATATGAACGCAGTTATACTCTAACCAGTTCATGCCTAAAATTACGTCTACCCCACTTAGTGGCAAACAAACTAAGTCAACCAGGAAATCTCTATCAAACATTGACAGAGGATATTTCAAACATACAAGAGATGTAGTCACTGATCCCTTAGCTGGAATCTCAACTACCATCTCCCCATTCATGTGAGATAACACAAGACCCATACG